AGTATACTCATCAGAACTGCAAATATTAAAAAGTCTGACTGCATCAAGTGTTGGCAAGAAGACAGAGTGAAGGTAACTTTCATATACTGCTGATGGAAAATTGGTACCAGTACTTTGAAGAGTCTGGCATCATCTAGAATAAAGATATACAAGCCCTAAAACCCAGAAATCCTATGCCTAGAAAAACACCCATACGGATGTGTAGCAGGACACATACACTGTACCAAGATGGCCACAGCAATAACTGCAACAATCCCGGAGTGAAAATATGGCAAATGTCCACCAACAGTAGAAGGCAAAAATGTGAAATTTTCTTGCAATGAAATGCTATACAATAGAACACACACAACAATTTTGGCGCATCTCCCCATCATGATTTTGAAACAAAAGAATGCAAGCTATGATTCGTTTATATGAATTTCAAAGACGGCCAACCTACCAGACACGGTTTAGACACACTCTGGAACCGACGCTAAGGATGAGCAGGGAAGGCGTGGCGCCGGTCAGGCCAGTGGAAGACTGGATGGATTCCTCAGGGAAGGCTGGCAGTGTTTTTGCCTCTGGACCTGTTGGTCGAGTGCTGGTAAGTGGATGTCTGCTTTATAATTATTTGCCAAGTGTATACATACATATTGGTTTCACTTCTCAGTGTGCATGTTATATTTCAAAATAAACACAAGAAGTTTTTTAAAAACTAGGATGACTAAACTGAGACCTGGAGTGTGAGGGGAAGTTGCCAAATGCAGTTCACAGGTTCTATCAGGTACACAGCACCCCAACACCAAGCCCCCAAAACTCTCCCTAACTCTGTGGGCTGCACTGTTGTAGTGACTCGCAAATGTCACCTGCGATGTGCAGCGCCTTCCCAGCTCAGGTGCCTGACTTGCTGTGAGGTCCCTTTCCCGCATCAGAAACCCAGCAGGGGGAGGAGGCTGGGGTCTTTCACAATCATCATTTTCTTCTTAAAAACCCATTAGGATTTCCTGGTGCTTCCTAATTATGCCTGGAGGAACTTCCGTGCTAGATTCGTTTGTTTTTTAAAGAGATGGATCTCACTATGTTGCCCAGGCTGCTCTGAAACTCCCAGGCTCAAGTGATCCTCCTGCCTCAGCCTCTGAGTAGCTGGGATAACAAGTGTGAGCCACTGTGCCTGGCAATTGTTCTCATTTCCACAAGTGCTGTAGGAGAGAAACACGAAGGAAGTAGTCTTGATTCTGATATATTTTGGCTTCTCTCATAAAACTGAGAAAATGTTTTGACTTTCTTCAGGCTTTCCCTATCTTCTCTATCTGAATCTGACACAGTCATCATTCTCTGAGCTGCTAGGAGAACGTTACGGTTAGGCCGTTTTCCAAAGATGAAGGCGAGAGTCTCTTGTTAAAAGTAAGGCTGGTCATACTCATGTGAAAAGTCTCAAAGGCAAGGCTGGGTCCTTGTGGTCGAAACTCGATCCATTTCTATTCGTGCTTTTCCCTGGCTTCTGTCCACCAATGAGGCTCTTTCACAGCATAGGGCCTGTTTTCAGCTGTGCTCAGTTAACCCTGAAGAAAAGGTCTGTCCATTCCCCAAGAAGCCTTTCCCGGCAGCTCACAAAAACAAACCACCATTGTTGGGATGGCCGGGGTACGCAAACCACCCTGGCAATGCCCAGGGCCATGGGGTCCAACATCTTTGGTCTTGACCTCAATGAAGATTTTAAGACTAAAGAACGGTAAGAGCTGAGAAGGTGAGCACATCTAAAAGTTAGCTGTATTTTTATACTTTCTCCCAATGAAGGGATAATGTGGATCCACAAAACCACAAGGATCAGAAAGCCCAAAGCAGCCAGAGGCTTCCCTTTCCCTGCAGCCACCCATCTCACTCCACAGGAAGCAGTCAACTCCAGGCGGAAAAGCAGACCTCTGAATTCCCTCCAAGTTTCTCAGAGTCCAAGTCGCTTATCGGAAGAAACGCAAACGAGAGATGTGCAGGTTGGGTCAGAGCCTCTGAGCAGGCTGGGCTTCCTTCCACCACCCCTTAGTGTTCTGTCCTGTGTTATTATGGCCTGTCTCTCCAAGCAGACTGTGATCAGAGCTTGTATCTTCCTTAGCTGGGCGATCACACTGTAACACACGGACTTTCCATTTCCTGGATAAGGAAATAAGGAGTGCCTGCTTATAAATCCCAAAGATCTTCCTTCAAACAATCCTTCACAGAATCCAACAGGCCCAAGAAGTTTTCAGAATAACTGGTACAGAGAATTAACACTTCCTGATAGGAATGATAATCTCAAAACAGCCCAGGAGTTACAGTTCCACAGTGAAGCCAGGCTGTCTGCTAATCTGTACACTGCAAAACTCCTAGTGTGCTGACGTGGCTTTAGCTTCTAGCCCGTGATTCTGGGGATGTTAAGAAAATGAGGGGCACAAAACTAAAAGCTATGTAGACAAAATCTGAAGGAGCACAACTTGGAATACTGACTTGTACAGTCTCATTTTAAACCAGTTGGGACTACCTGCCAAAATACCCGAGTGAGGAAAGGAAGTCCCTTTGCTGAACGCGTATGCATTCCAGCTTCTTGCCCTGGGAGCCTGCTGCGGGAATACTAGGCGAGTTGGCCGAAGCAGGTCCTCCTCACTCTTTCACTAGGGATGGGCCTGTTTGAATGGTCACTCCTGCATCTGGGTAGTGGAGGCAGTTGGTGGCAGCGGGCTACTCTTACTGGTCTGGGCTGGGAACAGCATCAACTCATCTCACAGTCCTGCCCCCCTGCAACCAACTCCCTTCACTCACACACGGCCCTGGGAGGCCTCCGCTCACCTGCGAAATCACCTTCAGTGTGTGCACCTGTTTGTCTTCGTTGATCTATCAGGTTTATGCAAGTAAATCACACTAGTTGAGGGTGGGAGAATTACTATACAACTTGAAAAAAATTAAGGCCGGGTATAGTGGCTCACGCCTGTAATCCCAGCCCTTTGGGAGCTGAGGCGGGAAGATCACTTGAGGTCAGGAGAAGTTCGAGACCAGCCTGGCCAACATGGTGAAACCCCGTCTCTACTAAAAATACAAAAATTAGTCAGGCATGTTGATACGTGCCTATAAACCCAGCTACTGGGGAGGCTGAGGCACGAGAATTGCTTGAACCTGGGAGGCGCAGGTTGCAATGAGCCAAGATCACACCACTGCACTCCAGCCTGGGTGACCAAACAAGACTCAGTCTCACACACACACACACAAAAAAAGACAGACAAACAAAAAACAAATCAATGGGAGGCCATACCAAAAGATTATTTCTTAAAAACAAAACAGCACTAATGGATTTTCAATAACTGAACAATTAACACATAGCGCTTATCAGCTGCTTAATCCTGACAATGTAGAAACAAGCAGAAGAGAGGCCTCCCCTCCAGAGGAAGGCTGGCTGGCTTTGGCAAGAAGATGTCCTAGTCATTCACATCAAAAAAACGTCCGGATGGGCAAAGTGAGATATTAAAGAAGATACACATTGCTCTGTGAACACAGAGCAGGTGCTCCCTGGCACAGAAATCTGTTGCTATCTTTTACAAACCACACTGAGCCTAGCCAGCTGTGCCATCTCGAAGTGTTTAAGACACTTCCTTGAGCAGCCTCCTTCTGGCTGCTGTTTGGCAGGCCTGATACTAGGCTACATTCTCCACCAAGAAGAGTACAGAACAGAACACATTTCTACGTTTATTCTAAGATTCCTGCATTCCCAAAGATATGGCACTACAGTCTAGAATTTCCCAAATGGAAGCTCCAAAAAGCACCTGTGACTAATAAAGACTCCATGAGGTTCTGCAAGCCAGAACACCTGCTTTACACAGGCTTTCCCACATTTCATTAAAAGAAGGCTTCTCCCATATATTACCTGTTACCTCTTAGATATTACAGGCAGAATATCCTTTGGAGCACATTTTGGAAACAGTCCCCTGGGTTCACAGAGTCCAATGTCAGGAATGCTCTCAGGGTGGGGGAGCAAGACGACACAGTTCCTGCCTGGGACAAACTTTCCTGGGGGGAAAGGTTACATATCTGGGTATTCAGGGAAAGGCAGAGAAACCCAATCCAACCATAATACACCAAATGGAGGCACTCAGTTCACTGAAGGGGTCTAGGAAGAACTCTTGGAGGAAGACATACACAATCCAAGTCTACAAGGAGGGAAGAGTGGGAAATGGGAGACGTTTCCCAAGAAGCTACTATCTCAGTGCTCAGCACTCTCCTCTGATTATGATCTAAGATTAAAACAGGGCAGTGAATTTTTTTTTTTTTTTTTTTTTTTTTTTGTGAGACACAGTCTTGCTGTAATGCCCAGGCTGGAGTGCAAGGGCACAACAGCTCACCACAAACTGCACCTCCCGGTTCAAGCAATTCTGCCTCAGCCTCCCAAGCAGCTGGGACTACAAGTTCATGCCACCATGCCTGGCTTTTTATTTATTTATTTAGTAGAGACAGGGTTTCACCTTATTGGCTAGGCTGGTCTCGAACTCCTGACCTCAAGTGACCCACCCATCTCAGCCTCCCAAAGAGCTGGGATTACAGGCATGAGCCACCATGTCCGGCCAGGCAGTAAATTTCATTGAGTGCTTACTATGTGCTAGATGCTCAGTAGGGTTAATGAAAGATTCTGTATCCAACACAGCTGTGTAGTCACCTGTCCTTCAAGGAATTACAATGGAAAAAAACACGGTGACATTAATCCTTCACATGAATGAAGGACCTGTGTGGAGTTTGGACGGCTGAACTGGGACCAAAGCCTTGGAGTCAGAGAACGCTGGGCTTACACCCTAGCCATCAAATACAAGCTGGGAGAGCTTGGACCAGCTACTGTAACTCTTTGAGCTTTCATTTTCTCCCTTGTAAAATGTAAACAAGTTTTCCCAACAAAGAGGACTGTTTCCGTGACATCATGAAAGGGGGAGGGGAGAAGGAAGAAAAGGAGGAAGGAAGGGAGGGAGGGAGGGACGACGTGAAAACAAAAACAAAAATAGCCCGAAGAGAACTATTCTGAAAATGTAGCCCAGGATTTGGCATACAGAAAGCATCCAATAAATGACTTAAACAATTTTAATACGAGTGCAGTAGAATGTCCTACCTGCACTGCTCACCTCAAGTAAGTTCTTTCATATGCGTACTTCCACGTGACTCGCAGAGGAAGACTTCAAACATGTCCAGCACCCTCCTTCCCTGCCAATCCCTACGGTTCTATCACATATAACTATTATTCTGACTTCCATTACCATAGATGAATCCTGTTCCTGAACTTCACGTAGATGAATTGTACAGTAGTACATGGTCTTTTTGAATCTGGCTTCTTTCACTCAGTATAAGGCTTGTATCACTCCTCTTTACTGCTGTATGGTATTCCATGACATGAACACACAACAATTAAATTCCCTATGCCACCACTGCACATCTGGGTTACTTCCACTTTGGGGCTCTGAAGAATAAGCACTCCCGCATGTCTCCTAATGCAGCAGTCCCCAGTCTTTTTGGCATCAGGGACTGGTTTCATGGAAGACAATTTTTCTTTGATGGGTTGCGGGTCTGTGTGGTTTCAGATGAAAGTATTCCACCTCAAATCATCATGCATTATAAGGAGCATGCAACCTAGACCCCTCACATGTGCAAGTTCACAATAGGGTTGACCCTCCTATGAGAATCTAATGCTGTCACTGATCTGACGGGAGACAGAGCGCAAGTGGTGATGCTTGCTCACCTCATGTTGATTTGATGTTAGACAAAGCTCAGGTGGTGATGCTCACTCATCTCCTGCTGATCTGATGGGAGACGAGCACAGGGAGGGGGTGATGCTCGCTCACCTCGTGCTGATTTGATGTTAGACGGAGCTCAGGTGGTGATGCTCACTCATCTCTTGCTGATCTGATAGGAGACGGAGCTCAGGTGGTGATGCTCGCTCACCTCGTGCTGATCTGATAGGAGACGGAGCTCAGGTGGTGATGCTCGCTCACCTCGTGCTGATTTGATGTTAGACGGAGCTCAGGTGGTGATGCTCGCTCATCTCTTGCTGATCTGATAGGAGACAGAGCTCAGGTGGTGATGCTTACTTACCTCCTGCTGTGCTGCCCAGTACAGATCTGTGGCTGGGGAGATGGGGACTCTTGTTCTAATAAACAAGTATATTCATTTCTCTTGGGGTATATACTAGGGTGGAGCTGCTGGTTCATAGGACAGGTATATGTTTAATGTTAGCAGACACTCCCAACTAAAAAGCTTTACAAAGCAATTCTTCCTATTTACATCCCACCATTGTGTATTAAAGTTCAGGCTGTTCCACATCCTTGCCATCATTGAGTACCGTTGAGGCTTTTATTAGCCATTCTGGTGGGGCCTAGTGGTTACTTGTTGTGGATTAAATCTGCACTTCCCTGATGACTAATGATGCTGAACTCATTCCATATGCTTACTGACCATCTGCATTTCTTCTCTTGTGGAATGGCAAGAAAGTCTTTTGTCCATTTTTAAAACTGAATTGGTTCTTTTCCTGTTATTCTGTAAAAGTCCTTATCCTTTGTCAGATGTATGTAATGCAAACATAATTTCAAAGTCTTTTCTCTTACAGTTACTGCTTTTTAGGTAGACTTTATGTGCCTTAAGAAACCTCTGCCCAATCCAAGATAATAACCAAAGTCTCCTGTGATTCTTCTAGAAACTCTTTTACCATTCACACTGAGGTCTATAATTCTTCTTGAATCAACATTTCTGAATGGTGTGAGTTAGGAGTCCCAGGTCATTTTTCTCCATTATGGACATTAAACTGGTCCAGCACCATTTATGGGAAAGCTATCCTTTTCTCAGTGAACTTCAGTGAGGCTTTTGTTGGGTGTGTGTGAATCTGTTTCTGGACTCTACTCTGTTTGGTGATATTATTATTTGAGTTTCACCACTGATCCACAGTGCAATCACAGATGAAAATTTACCTTTCTACAGGAATGAACAGCTACACAGGATATTTGTACAAAAATACTTGACTGTTGAGAAACTGTTTCTGAGCACTTTATAAGCATGACAACATTTTACACTCACTATAACCCTGTCGGGGTAGGTCCCATTTTACAGACAAAGCTAAAACACAGAGATTGGGTGCAATGCTCGGAAATTAAGGAGTGGCAGAACTTGGGTGTGGGTCTGCCTGGCCAAAGGGCTGATGCCCTTGCCACTGTGCCATTTTTCCTCAGCATAGAATTACTGGGAAAACTACTGTTCAGTGATTATTCCTATAAACTTACATTTCTGTATGGAAGTAAATTCTATTTTCTTACAAATTAGGTGTTTCAATTTAAAAAAGAAATGAAGAGGAAAAAAAAAAAAAACCCCAGAGTGACCCAGTCTGGATTCTCATTCTAACCCTGTCCCCGCCCCCTCCCCCCAAAAAAAAAAAAATAAAAAAAAAAAAAAAAACAAAAAAACCCACATCAAGGACAACAGATCAAAACACAGATCAAAAAAGAATGAAAGAAAAACACTTCAAATAAAGTTCAGCTGTTTCTATTTGGAAACAACAACAACAAAAAAATCCCACAATAAACTGACAAATAAGAAATTGTCTCTGTGGTAGCAGAGCTGGAATTTTCCGATGGCATTGGCTACTGTGTCATTACTGTGGGTGACCCAAAAGTGAGCTGGGTGAGTGAACAGCTGGGCACTAGCTGGGCTCATGTCCCTGAGGCAGCAGCAGCCAGGGCGGCCCTTCAGGGTTAAGCTTCCCCTTGGAGCTGGTGCCTTCTCCCTGGATTTGGAAATCCCCAGTAGTCTCTAAAAGCTACCTCCAAGAAATGGAAAAGGAACCCTTCTAGCCCCATTCCCTACCTTGGGGCAGTTTTGGTTCCAGTCTGCTCGGATAGGCCAGCCTGGATTTCCTAACTCCCAGGGTGGCCGACAAAGAGGAATCTTCTACACAGTCCTGACTGCAGATGTCCCGTGGGGCACGGGTGGACTTCTATCCAAAGGCATCCCAGGCCTCACCCTTATTCCAAGGAGGACGTTATTCAGAGTGCTCAGAGAAGAGGGATACTGTTATTAGTGGATATTCGACATCAACACTGATTCCTAGTTTTAGCATGCCCGAAATACCTTATCACTTTTTAACACAAAATACTAAAAGTACAATGAAAGCTTGGTGTTAATTACTAGAAAAAATGGGTTAAACCAAATTTTAAATAATATGACTGACAAACCAAGAATACTTAATTTACCAGAGTCAAAGAACCCATAGGAGAAATTTCTCCTGGGCTTAGAACCACCTTCTCCCAGCCAAATAAATAAATAAATAAATAACTACACATGCGCACGCGCGCGCACGCGCACACACACACACGCACATATTTCACCAAGCTGCTGTTTGCTCATTTATTTGTTCTTTCCTTTTCCCATTCTGGTATCTAAGAAATGTTTTTTGGTTACCTACTACATGCAAGACAATGGTATATTCATACCGAGGAAAAACAGAGAAAAACTGATCCCTGTCCTTAAAAATTACCTAATCCAGCAGGTAATCCAGACATAAATGCACACATATTTAACAATAACCTGTGACGAGCTGAAGGAACAGAGCAAGTTTTGGCAGGGACTGGCGGGAGCCCCTGTGTGGGCTGGGACATGAGAGAAGAGACACAGGATGTTGGGTGTGAAGCACAAGGATGACCAAGCCCGGGAGGAGCACAGGCGGAGATGCGCTCGGACGGCTGCCTTCACGCGGGAACTTAGAATTGTCGGTGTGCCTGGGGAATGCTGAGGAAGGGGAGAATGACAGTGGATACAGATGAAGGGGATCTTTCAGAATGTGACAGACTAGGCCTAGTTTGAGGATGATGGGCAGTCCAGGAGGCTCTGTGAACAGGGGCGAGCTTATGCAAGGCGGGGTGGGAAATGGGAGAGTCAGAGAGGATCATTCCTCTGATTTTGGTTTTAAAAGATCATTTAAACAGCATGTAACTGTACTTAATACTCTGTAGGCAACTGTAATGCAATGATAAGCATTTGTGGATCTAAACATAGAAAAGGTACAGTAAAAATACACTATTACAGCCTTATGAGACCAAGGTTGAATACGGGTCTGTATTGACCAAAACATGACTATGTGGCATCTGACTGTATGTACTTTATACAAGAAACACATCAGACGGAAAGCTTGAGAATAAAAGAACTGATAAAATTATCCCATGTAAATACCAATCCAAAGCAAGCCAGGACAGCTATATTAATATGAGGCAGAAAATAACTTTTAGAGATAAGGAGAGTCACTTCATAATGATAACAGGACTATTTCTCAGGACCCAGTGTACACCTTTCCCTAAAAACCTTGCCTCAAAACATATAAAGGGAAAATTTATATAATGAAAAGAAAATTAGATGAATCCACAATCACAGGCTATTTTAAAACATCTCTCTCTAACTGATAAATCAAAGTAGACAAAAATATAAGTAAAAACGTAAAAGTTTTAAACACCACCATTTACAAACTTGACCTAATGTATGTATATAAATTACTATACCCCAGTACTGGAAAACAGACATGCTTTTCACGCTCACATAGAACATTTGCAAAAACGACCATATTACCAGGTCATAAATCAAGTCTCAACACATTTCATAAAACAGAGGCTACCAAGTAGGTGCTATTTGATCACAATGCATTTATACTAGAAATCAAGCTCCAAAAGATAACTAAACAATTCTGAATTGTTTAGAAATGGATTTCTAATAATCCACAGGTCAAAAAAGTTGTTATACTAAAAATTGAAAAGCATATTGAAATGAATGGTAACAAAATAATACATGCCAAAATCCACGCAATGGAGCTCAGGAAGTATACAGAGTAAAACTGCAAATTAATAACCCTAAACAAGTGGACAGATGCAACACGTTCATGGGTTGGAAACTCAGTACTGTACGTCAACTCTCATCAAATTCATTTTAGTCAATGCAATGTCAGTGAATAACTCAGTATGTGAGAGTTTTAAATTGTTTTTGTTAGTGGTGTATGAGGTATTTGTATGTGTACAGGTATATATATGTATGTGCGTGTGCGCATGACCAAATGTGAATTTAATAAGCTGATTCTAAAACTTTTATGGAAAAATTAAAATGGCCAAAAATAGTCCTAACCTGTTAAAAAAGAAGAGGCAAACTGGAAGAGCTGACTTATCCTTTATCAAGGCATGCTGGAAAGCTACAGTAATTAAGACCATCATATTGGTGCAGAGATAGACAAAAAAGATGAATGGAAAAGAAAGCAGAGTCCACAAAAAGACCCAAACTTATACGAATATTTCTGATAAAGGGGGCACTATAGTGAACAATGTTCTTTTCAGTAACTAGGGCCAGGACAATTACCTGAAATGTGGAGAAAATAGAAATAGACCCTAACACATTCCATACACAAAAGCTGACTCTAAATGAATAACAGACTTTTATATAAAAGGTAAAACTATAAAGCATTCAAAAGATAACATATTATCTGCAGATGTCCCGTGGGGACATCATAACCTCAGGGTAAAGAAGTACTTCTTAAAACAAGATACATGTGCAAAAAACCCTAACCATAAAGGAAAAGTGATAAGTTTGAATAATTGTTAAGAACTTCAGTTATTCAAAAGAAACTATGAAGAAAATGAGAAGATAATCACAGAACAGGAAAGAGAAAATATTAGCAACACATACAGCTGACAAAGAACTTCAATCTAGAATATATAAAGATGTGTTAACAAACAAATAGTAAAGAAAAATATCCCAATGGGCAAAAGGTTTGACCAAGCACACTGTAATGTGTACACACACACACACACACACACACACACACACACACCCTCAAATAGCAAACACTTTAGAAGATGCTAAGTCTCATCCCCAGCCTGGGCAACAGGGAACAGGATGTGCAGTCCTAACTCCAGTGGAAGCATTAGGTAGGGAGGGGAGGAGGTGGTGTACAGAAGCTCAATGCTCATATCAAATATAAACAGGTCACACCGAAACTTGATATATCGAGAAAAAGCAGCAAAGCATATTATTTAGATATACAAAAGTAGCTACCAGAAGAAGAGAGTGAATCAAAAAGTGTAGAAAGTGGAACTAAAGACATTGTTCCCTTACGGAATACCTTTTGATATTTAAAAACCCCCATATAGATGTATTATTTTCATGAATTAAAAAAAAAAAAAAAAAGAAAAGAAAAAAGCACAAGACGGGGAAAAGAGTGAATGGGAAGTGAGGAATAAAGTCAGAATCGCTGGATAATTCTCTGAGAATAGTCTGGAAGGAGCATCAATGTGGATTTACCTATGGAATCAGGTAAATTTTGTAATCTGTATCATGTCCTCATTTGCTTTAGGACTATGAAAGCCAGGTTTTAATTTAGATCTCACATCTAAAAACAGAATCTCTAGGCTGTAATGCTTTTTCATTTCTCACCATTCAACTATCATTCTCCCTTTGTGCTGATATTTCACTATGTGTCTCATATCTTATTACATTTTATATGCCTTTAGAATCTGGTAGGCTTAATAAATAAAACTCCAAAGAATTACTGAACACACATTAACACTAAAGATGTTCGTGGTATTTTATCTTTTCTTAATGATTCAGAGGAGATTCCGTGATCTTGCAATGTTTCACTGATTATCATTCTAAAAGCCAGTTATCTAGCTAACGATACAGATATCCATATACATTTTTAAATGTGTAAGTCTGAATCATTTCTCCACTACATGAATATGTTTATGTGGTTCTCTGCATGCGCTCTGTCTCCTCCCAGTGACTTGTAAGAAGCCAGCGTGGAGAAATGGCTAAGGGCCAGGCACTTACATGTTTATCTGGTTCTGACCTCTGGACAGGCTAGAGACTCAGTTTTATTTCGTCATCTACAACATAGGGATGACAAGAATAGTATCTGCTTCATGGTGTTGTCAGGGTTCGATACGGCAATGGGTGTAAACACACAAGAGGGACTGAACCAAAGTTTCCTGGAGGAAGAAGTGAATGAATGAATGGCCATCTGGCAAGGAGGACCCCAGTGTGGAAGGTGCTGTGAGCACCTGTGGGCCTAAGACGTGCTCGTGGACAACAGTCTTTTTATTTTTTGGTCTTAAGGTCAATTCAGGGAATTCACTCAAAGTAAACTGTGAGTGAATTTCTTTTTTCATAATAAATCATCCTTTTCGTTGGGAAATGCAACATCTGCAGTTGTACCTGGACATTCTTGTACTGCTTTACTGTGACTAGAAGCTTTCTTCTTTTTTCTTTCCTTTTTTGGGGGCTAAAAAAATGTCAACACTCTTTAATGAACACAGCCTACAGGGACTCACCACAACGCCAGTCACTGAACCAACTTGCTTTACCCTGAAGAGGAGTTTTCTGAGGCTGTGTATTTGTCTTTTCCTGACCGAAATTACAAGCTACTATGCTCTTTAAAATAAGATTGTTTTCTATCGCTAATCAGACAAATGACAGTATCACAGCACAAACAATAAGACTGCTCAGTCTACTTACTTTGAAACACATGATTTTCATCAGTTCCTTTTCTCTTCTTGGCAGAAGCCATAGTGCAGAGAGTCTGATTTTTAAAATGACCCCCTCCTCAGTCAGTGCTAGGCTGGGCCCCTCACTGCCTCCCGCAGGCTACACTCCTAAAGTCCGTATAGTAGCCTTATTCCGCCCTGCCCTGCCCCACCCCCAGGTAATGAGCACAGGACCATGCAGTGACCAGGACGAGGGACACAGCTGAGTTCGGCTCTCACCAAGGAAGTTCGTGAAATTAAACAGTAGGTTTTATCTCAAATCTAAACAAGCTGTATCTGGTCCCTGGTTACTCACCACTGTACTAGGTTAGCTTTGTATAGTACAATTACTTGAAGTGGTAGGAAAAAAGCAGGGTCCCTGCAGAACACCCTCCAGCAAGGGTGGCCACCTCAAGCTAGGGGTAAGAGCCAAAGCTCCCAGCTTCTGCAGCAGAGGGCTGCAGAACGACCCCTCTGAAGATGAGAATTCAGCACCACTGAAGTACTCCTCCCTCTTGCTAGGGAGCCAGAGTGCTCCTCATGTTTCTATGTTGCCAAACCCTTGTTAAAATAGTTCTTCCGAAGGACTGAATACTCAGAATCTCTACAGCAAAACAATACACAATTGTTCACGTTTGCTCTGAAGACCACACACACGGGAAAGGTGACGTGTCGCACAGGCCTTGCATGGGCTGCCCCTGCCCCAGGTTTTTAAGTGCTTTTCAGCCACAAGCCCATTTGAAATGTCTTACTCACCTTGAAGAAATTAGCTTACCATAGTACAAAGGTTACAGAAGTGATATTCTAGCACCGTAACTCTGAGAAAATGATCTAGTTCTCAGGACAAGTAAACAAGCAAGGCAGCCAGCTACATATTGAAAGAACACAAGGAAAGACATTTGTTTTGCCAAGGCCCTGGCTGTACTAGTGCATGGTCATTCGCATGCAAGGATACAGGGGTTACTGTCACTGACGCTGCAGTTGTCCAGGATCAACGGGATACCGTCCAGCTCATTGACCTAGAAAGAAAGAAGACGAGTTATACACTGAAAAGAGCATGGCTATAGTCAGAGATTATAGATGACTTGTTGCTCTTTCTGTGTTTTCTCACTCAATGTTATAACATTGTTTGCACAAGTACCTGAAATACCTATAGTAACCCAGAACTATTTAAAACAGACATGTAAACAAAAAGTAATACTTCATTTTCTTTTCACTGGAATTTAAAAAAAAAAAATTGGGGGCAATTGGGTAGCCGCATAAAAAAGAATGCAAGTAGATCACTTCCTAACCTTGTTCACCAGGATAAACTCCAGATGGATCTGAGATCTAAACTTAAAGAATGAAAAAATCGGCACTAGAAAAAACATGGGTGCATTCCTTTTCTAAGCTGGTAACAGGAAAAGCTTTCCTAACTATGATTCAATCTAGAAGCAACAGGGAAAAGGTTTTAAAATTTGACTTTTTTTTTTTTGAGACAGACTCTCACTCTCATTGCCCAGGCTGAATGCAGTGGCACAATCTCACCTCACTGCAACCTCCGCCTCCCAGATTCAAGTGATTCCCCTGCCTCAGCCTCCCAAGTAGCTGGGATTACAGGTACCTGCTACCATGTCCGGCTGATTTTTTGTATTTTTAGTAGAGACGGCATTTCACTATGTTGGTCAGGCTAGTCTCGAACTCCTGACCTCAGGCGATCCACCCGCCTCTGCTTCCCAAAGTGCTGGGATTACAGGCGTGAGCCACCATGCTCGGCCTTTTTTTTTTTTTTTTTTAAGGCAAATGAAAACTGGGAAAACTATTTGTAAGGTATCACAGATTTGGAAGGTATTTGCAAAGGATTAATATTTTAATAAACAAAGAACTTGTAAAAACTTAAATGACACCAACAATACAATAGAAAAACAGATGAGACACATGAAATAGAAATGGCAGCAAAAAGAACACAAATAAACTACAAGGACACCAGCAAACATTCAAGCTGCCCGTAAGGGGGAACAAATTATAATTACACACGTTTCTTACCTGCCAGACTAACAAGTAACCAAGTCTGACAAGAAATGCTGTTGGTGAGGCCACAAACAGGCACTCTCCTACGCTGCTGGAGGGAATGATCAATGGAACAGCTCCCGTGCAAGGGGACTGGGTGTAAGCAGCAAAATGACATGTGACCCAGTAACCACACTGCTACAATTACACTTCAAAAACACACTACCACATAAAATAGTGTGTGACACAAGGTTATTCATTACAGCACAGTTTGTCATTTTATTTTTTGTAAAGATGAGTTCTCACTATGTTGCCCAGGCTGGTCTCAAACTCCCAGCCTCAAGTGATCCTCCTGCCTTGGTCTCCCAAAGCACTGGGATTACCAGCATGAGTAACCACCACACCTGGCCCAGTTCATTTTTTAATAACAGTTTTACTGAGACATAATCACAAACCATAAAATTCACACCTTTAAAGTGTGCAATTTGGTGGTTTTCAGTCTATTCACAGAGTTATATAATCATTAGAAAGACCAAATTTTCAAACGTTTTCTCACCCCTAAAAGAAACTCCAAACCCACTGGCAGTCACTCCTTATTTTTCCCTACTCCCAGTCCTTGGCAACTATCCATCTACTTCCTGTCGCTCTGGATCTGCCTATTCTGGACATTTCCTATACACAGAGTCCTAGAATCTGAATGCTACGCAGCCTTTTGAACCTGGCTTCTTTCACGCAAGGTTCCTCCCTGTTGCAGCCTGTCAGTGCTTCATTCCTTTTCATGGCTGGGTAATGTGAACAGGGCATTGTAGGGATATGCCACACTGTATTTTTCCGTTCACCCAGTAATGGACGTTTGTGTTGTTTCCACCTTTAGGTTTTCACGATAATGCTGCTATGAATGCGCATGTACATGTTTTCGAGTGGATGTAAGTATTCATTTTTCTTGGGTATATACCTAGGGGTCAAACTTCTAGATCATATGACAATTATAAACATTTGAGGAACAGCCAGACTGTTTTCACAGTGTTTGCAGAATTTTACATTTTCACCCAGCCACTTATGAGGGTTCCAGCAACTCCACAATCTCATAAACACTTGCTATTGTCTCTTTTTTCTTAGGCATTCCAGTGTAAGTGAAGTGGTGTGTCGCTGTGGTTTTGATGCACATTTCTGATGGCTAATGATATTGGGTGCAGCACAACTTATTACGAAACAACTCAAGTCTCCACCGACAGGGGCTGCTGAAATGAACGATGGTACGAACACAGCAGACTGCTACAGGGCTGTGAATATGAGTGGAGAAGATTGCTGATGGACTGCTGTGGGAGGATCGCCAGGATGTAACCACAGTATAACATGTTAACAGACTTATATGAGAATCTTATGTGTAATAAAGGGTATTTTAAAATACTCTGAACAAGAAAACAATGAAGGGTTAAACCAAAAACAAACAATGGTTACCCACAGGGTAAAGAGAAGAATGGGGTGGAGGAAACACGAATGGAGACTCTAGGACTGTGCCTTGTATAAATTTTGACTGGAATCTGCTGTGTTTTATGTAATTTTTAAAAATTAAAGTTATAAAAACTGAAAACACACAAATTAATGAAATATAAAACAATGTTATTTTTCAGAATTCAACAGTATTTTGATGTTACATCCCTAGTGAGATATACATAAGCTAAGATGGTACAGAAGCACACAGATGCCTGAAACTGCATTCGGTCCTCTGAACATTAACTATTCCAAACTCCAGGTCCCAGTGAAAGAAAACAGATCTCCAGTTGATTCTAATGCACAGACTTACTAGGAATCTATTTATGATCCTTACTTTTACAAAGGACAGGAAGAAGAGAATAAATTAGTTCGTAATCCTCAAATTTCTATGATCTTTTTCCAGGCACTGAAGGTGTGATGGGAAATGAAGTACTATTTAGTAGATATCTGGTATATACTGACATATACTGATATACCTGCCATATGCCTGGCAATCTGAAATGCTAGAGTAAATATTATTGGCTCCCTTTTACAGATAAATAAGTGAGGCTCAGAAGTCCCCCTCCCTGTGGTCACTTACCTAATAAGGGCTACTCAAGGTGAGGTCTGGAGACCACTGTCAGTTTGTATGAACAGACACTGAGGGGAGGAGCTGAGAAACTGACAATATTACAGCCATGTGATGTCGGCTGAGTCTTAAGATAAAATTTGGGCTTGAATTCTTATGTCTTTTTTTAGATTTATTTTTCAAGTAGTTCATTTTATACTATACTCTACACAAATATAGGTTTGGGATGGTTTGAGGAAGAGAGAACTGGATCTGCACGACAGATAGGTTAAGAAGCACTGGGATGGACGGTTAGCCCACTATACAGCGTGGGTCTTGGAGGGGGATCATGTGTTTGAGAAGCACAGAGGAGAATTTTATGGCCAAGCCAGTCATGATCCCACCTGAGATTGTATCCAAAGCTTCCCACGGAAGTCCTCACACCCCCACTTCTCCTCTGATAACCTGCCCCACATCTACCAGCAGGATGGGGTATGCACAGTGAAGTCTGCAAGTGGGAAAGGAAAGATGCCAAATGCCTTTGCCGTGTGCCGATACTGAGGTGAAGATAAGGAGAGATCCAGAAAAGAAGTAAGAGCCCTGTGAGTGGCACTGAGAGGAAAGGATCCAGCTGATCCTCACCAGCTCTCCACAAATGTGTGATCCAAACCCTTCTGCAACATGAGTGCATCTCCACGCCAGACTGAGGTTGGTTTTCACGCTCATGGTTTGTTCTACTAGAAGAACATATAGCATGGGGCTCACAGAGAAGGCCTCCCTAAAGAAGTGACATTTAGTTTAAGTTGAGAAGAATGAATAGGAATTAAATAAGACAAAGGGGACTGTGGGAGTGTTCTGGGCAGGGGGAGGAGCATTCGCAAAAGCTGGAAGATGAGATGAAAGATGCAGTTCATGGAACTGGGAGGCAGTGTAGCATACGGATTAAGAGTAACCACTGTGGAGCCAGGATGCTGGGGTCAAAGCCTGGCTACGAGCCCTGCTGGTCTTGGCCAAGTCATGGAACCCTAAGACTTGGTTCCCTCCTCTGCAAAATGAGGATGACAGCGCCTACTTCAAATAGTGATTGTGAATGTGTTTAGCACTTAGTAAGTGCTCAGTAAAGAGCACTGGGAGTGATGGCAGTAGTTGGCAACATTCGCAGTGTTAAATGCAAATTGTTCATTTAGGAGCAAGGAGTTGTGCAGTACCTCCTAAATACGTGACGAAATTGAATAATAACTTCAACAGAGCTGAATTTATACTTCCTCTCTGCATTAGGCAAAATTTCAAATTTATTTTCAAAACCAGTTTTTTTTGATAAGTGAGAAATAAAAGTATTCAGAACTTATTATTCAATGTATAGAAAAATCTCAATTTCTACAAAAAAGAAAGTAGAACTCTGAGATATGCTAAATGGGTAAGATGTTCTTTGAAACAAATGAAATCACACACTAAAAACTGAAATTTAAGCAGGCAAGAAAGGTGAACTGAAGAGTTCTTTAAAACCATGGTTACGCTGGAGCTGTGGGTGAACTGAGGGTATGCGTTCCCGGATAAATATTTGTAATTCATACAGCTGCATTAGGAAAGGATACAAGGGAACATCTATAGAAATTCATTAAATGTTTACAACATAAATGACCTATTCCAGATGAGGATGATAGTGGCATTATGACAAATACACAATTATATACTTAAGAATGAACACAGGTTAAGGTCACTGGGAACAGCAGACACCAATGCAACACCTTCAGGAAGGGTGACTGACAATACAATTCTGTTACTACAAAGCCCAAGTTTACTGCTGTAACTACAAGTGTCAAGGTCATGTTAGGGGCAGGAGAGAAACAATTAAGTTTTCTTCTGTCAGCACTTCATTAAACAAGAAAGTTGTTTGTTTCTTTACTAACGTGTTG